TATTCTATTCTATTCTATTCTATTCTATTCTATTCTATTCTATTCTATTCTATTCTATTCTATTCTATTCTATTCTGATTAATTCCTAAAGGCTATTGTCATAATGTCATACTATTGCTATATTACACCAATGACTATATGACAATGATTAATCTCATCATTCCCAAATTTATCCTCACAACTATTGCTTTGAAGATCTAGTCTTTAAAATGTCCTGTGCTGGTTAATGACCACAATAAAACAACCTAACCCAACCTAACTTCTTATTATATAGTAAAGACAAACTTACACAATCCATACTTAGCACACATCGAAAATGTTTACATCAAACAACTCATGTTACTCTATAAATGTTTCCAAAGCTCAGGGCCAGACAACCGAAGGAACTCTGAAATACAGTGCAACAAGGGAGCCTGGATGGAAGCAAAACAGCCACTCTTTGACTTGGACATGCTGAAGCAATACAGCAAAAGTTATCAATGGAGGAATCGCAGCTCTCAAAATGCAAGTCATCAATACCCAAGCAAGAAGACAAAACTGTGAAACGTTCCGAAAGGAGTAGCTACTTATTTAATACTCATTTATTTAACATGCTTTTGGACTCATCTAAATGTGCCATGCAAGTACCCTCTGAACTTCTGCCAAAAAGTAGATCAACATACAGATAGAAAGACAAGGCAGCAATGTTTGTTGCCGTTTGAAGCACATTCTTCTAAGCATTGCATGGCTAAGGAAGGACCATGTCTAATCATTTTTTTTTCCTGATCACCTCCAGCAGCATCATGCAGAAAAGCAGAATACGAATTAAAAATACGTTAGCTTCTGGCAACCAAAGAATATCTTTTATTTTGATACCGAAACAGGTCAGATAACCGATTGTGTCTCCTCCTCCCCCCCCCAACAGACATATACCGGCTAATTCTTGATGTACTATAAACTTGATAGAGTACAAAATACCTTGAGAAAATCTGCAATGTTTTATCTTGATGCTGATTGGAACAGTGACATAATTCAAAGCAATATTACCTTTATTAGACAATAGCTGCGATGTCAAACCTGCGACATGTTGTTGCCATGTGACGTATCGCAAATTTTCTTCCCTTCGCTAAACCAGGGGTGGGCGTGGCCAGCAAGTGAGGCATCTGGCCTGCGGGCCGCAGGTTTGACACCCCTGCACCATAGCAAACCAAGGTTCATGATATGGAGCTGATATTTCTCTAATAACGTGATTTCACAAATCATACCGATGATATTTTGATTCTGATCTGGTGTTATTCTCATGATGCAAATAGTATGCTAGGTACCTATTTTAAGTTCACAGGGCCATTCTGGTATTGCATTTACTTTACAGATAGTATCGCTTTTATATTTGGCTTGAAGCATTTTGGCAAAAGGATGTTTCAGAAATGTTACAAACACCAGCATAAAATTGAGTCAGCTTGAAGTATTCGAGATAATTATTTCAAAGGGAAAAGGATGAATTGCAGTTCAGTAAACCTAGGGAACCCAAAGCAATTTTGAACCGCATCTCTTGGGAATCCTCTAATAAAAAGTATGTTCCAGTTTTCCTTTGTAACACACAATGCCCAGCAAAGACATGATCTTTTGGAATCAATAGTAATTATATTGACTTCTTCATCTTCCCCATCCTATTTTTATAGAGCAATATTTGATTTAGAAGGAAAACAACAAATTTCAGCTCATGCGGTTTCTCAAAATGCTGAGCACTTTCAGAAGTCATCTCTGGCTAGGAGCAAAAAAGGAAAACAGGAGAAAGTTTCTTACTGTTTCGGGGCTTCTCTTCATCCATGCCTTCGTCTTCATTTTCTGGATCTATATCTTCTGCCTGAGTTATCCAGTCTAGATATCCCTTTAGGTCCTCCTCCAGTTGTTGTTTCTCTCTTAGCTTCTGAAAGTCACCCCGAGCTTTTGCTTTTTCTCTCTCTTTAGAAAACTCCCTGGTGAGAAGGAGGGGATTAAATTAAAAGAACAGAAGAGAGAGAAATAGAAAGAAAAAAGAGAGAGAAGAGAATAACTTGAATTGCCCTTAAAATATTAAGTTTCTTGATATGGTAACTCAGCTGCTCATGTTAATTTAAGCACTGTGTTTCCTCAAGATATATTACTAGGTTTTAAAACTGCTAATGAGAGCTCTCCGTGCTGCATCTCAAATTACTTTTGTAATTTGAGATGTAGATATTATTATTGTGTTGTTAAAATCTCCTATGTCTGGTGCAATACTATATTCAATACATTACTAGGAATATAAGGCAGATTTGTTTCTTATGTCATATCAATTTGCTGTCTCAAGTTCTCGGTCCTATTGTTGGTTTTTGTTCCATTGTCAGGATTCTAATCATGGGAATTTTAAAATAGAATATTACAAGAGACTTTATTTAATTCTTAGGATCAAAAGCATCTCAGTGAATTAATTAGTGGAAAGAGCTTTGCTACTAAAATAAATGGACCAGTTACATGGAAAAAAACTTAAGCGTTTGTCTATTAAAACCCACATTTTTGTACCAGTAAGCAAAAAGTGGACAATAAGAAAATCTAGTCAAAATTTGGTGCCTTTTTCTGAGCAGCACTTCATATAACTAAGGTGAAGAGTAGAGTTTTTTTTAATTAAGCCAAGAAGATTAAATTTATTTTTTTATGTCAATGGCATTTAAATTTCTTGTAATGTTACCCTGTATTATCCACTAGAAAAGTGCATACCTAGGCTATATTGGCCCTGCAATATTAAACATTATTATTTAAAATGTCTTTTAATAATAATAATACTTAGAATATTTATGCTCAAGACTAGAATGAATATTGACACTAGACTTCGGTTTCCTTTATTACAATATCAGATTTACTACTAGTATTAATTGTCTTGGCTTTAAGGACTATATTTTACATATCTTGTAATCTTTTAAATTATACAGTGAAAGACTGAACCTGAATTTTAAAAAAAATATAGTTTGATTTGCTTGGCGTTCCTGCAAGAGTGATGGAAATTTACCTCCAGAAAAGCAGATATTTACCATCTACTGCATATGGGGTTCTGTATATTTTTTCTGCATCAGAGCATTCTACATGGGAAAACCATTATATTAATATCAAAGGGACACATTTCTGGAACATCTACAGCCGGGATGGCGAACCTGTGGCACATGGAGCCATTGGTCAGAGCATGTGAGGCGTTGCCCTGTCAGCTGGCCAGTGCGCATGTCCACGCTGGCCAGCTGAGTTCAGCCTTTTTTAAAGCCATTTTTCGCCCTCCCCAGGCTCCAGAGGCTTTATAGGAGGCTGGGGAGGGCGAAAACAGCCTTCCCCCTCCCCGGAGACCCTCCGGAAGCTTCAGGAGCTTCTGTGAAGCCTCCGGAGCACAGAAAACCAGCACTACAGGCAAACTGGAAGTTCGGGAACAGACTTCCGGTTTGCTTGTAGGGCCGTTTTTAGTCTTCTGGAGCCTTCAAAAAGGTCCCTGAAGACTCTGGAGGACTAAAAACGGCCCTACGAGCAAACTGGAAGTCTATTCCCGAACTTCCATTTTGCCCATAGGGCCATTTTTATGCGCTCCAGAGGCTTCAGGGAAGCTCCTGAAGCCTCCTGAGGGCCTCCAGAGGGGCGGGAGAGGCTGTTTTCACCCTCCCCAGACTCCTATAAAGCCTCTGGAGCCAGGGGAGGGCGAAAAAAAACATGTACAAATAGGGGGTCGTGTCTATCATGCACGCATGCATACTGTGGGAGGTCGCACATTGCATTATGGGTGTGGCACGCCCATGCATGACCCCCCTGTGCTCCCCACGCTTATGGCATGCGAGCCAATAAAGGTTCGCCATTGCTGATCTACAATGTTAAAAATGTTCTAATGATGGTAGTAAACTGGGTATCAATGTGTGATCAAAATGCGTCTACGCACACAATTCTCTTTTATTTGGCATTTTGTGAAGTAATTTCAATATTCCTTCCTACATCTTTGTGTATCGCACGAGGCCAAATTGTGTTTAGCTTATATAGTACAGGTTAAAAGTAAAGCCACATAGTTGATTTGGTTAATTCCTGGTTTGTTTCATCTACATGTCTTTTGCCAACATCCAAATCTCTAGCAGAGGTATACAACTATTTCGCCAATCTATTTGCAGGAATGTTTCCTAGGAACCAAGGGAAATGGTTTTGACGGTTATGCATTGCCGCTGTGTGTTTTGTGTTTCATCTGCTCTGCTTTTGTGTGAATGTCGCCTCTTATGGGGACTCTCAGCAGGCACTTTGGGCAGGCATACGTATTCCACTTGGAAGAAGCACTCAGAAAGTTAAAGTGAGCCCTAAGCATATAAAGCTTCATACTGTAGTTCACAACCAGTTCCTTAAAGTGTGCATGAAAAAAACTAGAACCAGTAGAGTAGTAGTGTTATGCAGCAGTAATGTTTCTGTCTTGGCACAATATGTGCAGTTGCACTTTTTATCAGCTGAAGTTTCGATGGTTTAAGGGTATTGAATGAACTACATTGCAATAATCCAAATAGCAGGCAATAAGGACATGAACGGAGATTATTTCACAGAAAGCAGAGTGTAAGTAGAGTGAAGACTGAGGATGAGGGAAGAGTTTGGAGAGAAAGCTGTTGGACCACAATTTAATCTGGAAATCTGGGCATCAGTTTGTATTTATTTTCAAGTACTATTAAGTACTGTTATCTTGCAATTTCGGGATTTGTAAAAGAGAACGAACACAAAAACAATTTAGCTTTAGCTAAATTAATAAGGCAGGTTTCATAAATTCACTGTAAACTATGACACCAAATTCTTCTCTTAGCATCTATGTGTTCTTGGTATTCCAACATTACTGTTATATCAAACCCTAATTTAACATTTTTATAGGCCAAATTGATTTTACAATGATCCTCCAGTATTGCTAGTTTTTGGCTGTCCAACTAAGGAAGCAAACAATATATTCCAACTGATAAAATATAAACATGGAATACACAGAATTATCATTTTAATTTACAACATTGAGCTCAAATTCCTTCTCAATGTAGGAATCTAAATTAATGCAAAGATGATGGTCTAGCCTCAGTTTCAATACATTTTATTTCTCTCCAGTGACTAGTTCCACCATCATGAATGTTGTCACCTATCAGCCTACAATACTGCATTCTAACTACCTGGCCACTATATAGGGTTTAGACAAAGACCATTGATACTATCAAAAGAAATGTAGATGCTGAATCAACACGTATATCCATAGCACCACCCCAAAGAATAGAAATACCAGTGTAGAAGCAAGGAAAATAAATAAATAACAAAAACAATTGGAAAAACCTTTCCCCCCCTTTTTTTGCTTACCCGCTAAGTACACCGAGAACCAAGTTAAGTACAAAAAATGAGCCTATGATGATTAATGTAACAAAATAGATCCAGGGCCACTCCCTTCCTATGGCATCATTGACCTGGAAGAGTGGAATGATAATTAGTGAGAAAAGTTGATTCCTGTGCATTGCAAGTCTCCAGTTGAAGGGAACCTCAGTCACCAGCGCCGAATTTGAATGTTGAATGAGTCAGTTATGAAGACAAGGCGAGATAGCAGCCTAGCAGCCTTGTGTCTAGGAATGCACAAATTTTCTCCACTCCTGAATGGAGGTATTATTATATAGTCCTACTGTAATGTGACAGCCCTTAGACATATTCATGATATGCAAATATTCATTAAACATTGCTTGGGTTTATGACAAGCTAAGAAGCTTGGTGACCTGGAAGGATCCTGATCCTGGAGTCTTGCCCTGCAGCAGGAGGAGAAGTAAACACCAAAACTAACAGCTTACCCGCTCAACACACCAAGAACCAGATTAAGAACGAAAAAGGATCCAAAGATGACCAGACTGACAAAGTACACCCAGGGTAACTCATAGCCCATAGCGTCCTGCATCTGGAAAGATGGAGGGTAGTTAGAAGACAGAGGCAGAGAGCAGAAATGGTTAGGAAGAGAAGACAGAGTGTTTACACATTAGGCCTATCTAGCTGACTCCCGAGAGTCGGGAATGTTATAGTTGTTATTTATTTTGAGTTCTTTTGAAGATCTAGTGGCTCCGGACATTACGAGAGATCAGAAAGTGTGCATGAGAGTTCAATCACATTATAGAACTGGAAGATTCATATGTACCGTGACCCGTCAAAACCGCGGAGGACAAAATCGCGCTCGCCGAAAGCGCGCATGTGACGTCATCACAGCGCGACGAAAAAAATTAAAAATTGAGAAAAGCCGAT